TATGACATAAAGGGCTCTTCAGAATTGCTAAGTTCTATGATTTTATAAAGAAAAAGGAGTACCCTGTTATCTAATGTTATGAACTGGTCGCTGCCCCTCAGTGTTTGAAGTGAAACCCAAATGGAGGACTTGACAAAGTAAACGGTGGTTTCAACGCAGTTAACCACACAGACAGCACACACAGACACCCAAGATGGCAGACGATGGTGTTTCTGCATTCACCTAGGACGAGGAGGCTGAAGAAAATGGTCATGCCACTTGACTGTTCCTCCTGCTGAGCCTGCTCCCCTGTCTGCACAGGGAGGATGGGCTTGGCAGGGGTCGGGAGCACCAGTTTTGTAGTGACAACCAGGGTAGTGTGGAGGGTGACATTGAAACCTTCGTGAGTTGTATTGGGGAACCTGTTAGGGGACACAAAAAGCAGAATTAGAGAAAGGAAAAAGGGCCCCTAAGTATCAACACACACAGTCAGAAAGAGAACTTGGCTTTATAGCAGTTACGGGTCTTGACACCAACAGGCAGGCCTTGGATGGAAACGGATTTAGAAACTTCCTGCCTGCTGCTGCAGGATGGTGCCAGTGCTCTCAGGTGCTCTGAACACAGCCACTTAGAGGACAGAACAGGGGGAAATGGGGCCAGTGTGGAAAACAATGGATGCCTGCTCTTCGGTGCGTAGTGGGGCATTTAAATGGAGACAAACTGGAGTCTCATCACTTCCAAGGTCCAACATGACCAGTGCCTTTATTTCTCCCGTTCACATTCTTTGCCTTGGATTACATCCACATGTTGAAGAAACCACTTGACTTTGCCCAATTATTGATCTGGTTGGAGTGCCCTACTCTCCTTTACAAAATCCTTCTCAGATTTCAGAAGGCTCCAGTGTAACCTCCTCTGCAATACTCGACTCCACCCTACCGCGTATGTTCCTCACAGCTCTCTCCTCACATTGTGTTGGGATTGAACACTAGTGCAATATTGATGTAACCATCATTGTAATTGACGATAACAGCTAATGTTTATTGAGGACTGCTTCATCCCAGGGGTTAGGGAACATAACACCTCTTGTTTAATAGGCATAACATGTCTGGGATGGGGTCCTCTTAACGTTCCCTTTTATGCGCCTGAACAACAGAGGCTCAGACAGGTGGTGTAACTTGGCCAGTGGCTCAGTTAGTCAGGCAGAATCGAGCTTTGAGACCAAACTTGAAATCACTGGTCCCTACCACCTCTTTGGCTTTGCGCTGCTGAGGCCCAGTTTAGTGTTGGGGGCTGAGCAGAGGCTCACTAAATAAGGTGGCTCAGTGAAATGACCGCCTCGCCGAGAGACATATCTGAAAAGCGGTCAGGTGAGGGAGTCAAATTTCAACCACCTTCCTTGTTAAGTTTTCCATACTGATTCCACAAACATAGATAGGGTATAACATGCAACAGACTATGCCCCGCAGGTATGGAGGTGGACTAAGAGTGATGCTTCCCCAGAAGTACCTGGAGGACACAGACGCCCCATCTCATCGTGGTCGCCTAGCTCCCTTGCTCTCTACACTCCAGCCATCCTGCCTTTCTGTCCTGCAAAGGCATTAAGCCCTTTCTTGCTGCTGACCTCTTGCACCTGCTGTTCCCTGTCTTAACCCTCCTTCTGGTCATTCAAGTTGCAGCCCGCATGTCATTTTCTCCAGAGTAGACACCCCTCCCCCCACCCTCTAACACTGTTTCAATTCCTTCCGAGCACTGAAATCATCATGTCTATTTATGGTCTTCTTTTCCCACTAGGAGGGAAGTTCCCAGACGGCTGCTCCTCGTCTGCCTCCTTCACTACCATGTGCCCAGGGCCTGAAATAGAGTAGATGCTCAATAGTTGATGAATGAATGACACTCGGTGGAGGAGACAGATGCGAAAAATGATCGTTACAGTGGAGGAGGCGACTGGCTATAGTAGGGGTGGGGGACTTCCTGGAGGAGGCGTTGGAACGCTCCGTAATCATCACATGACCGAAAACTGGGACCGTGAAATTTGGGTTGCAGTTTCCGCAAACCTGCTTTCTGGGCCTGCGCTGGGCGGCCGATCGCCAGCCCAAGGGTCCGACCTCAAGGAAGCTGCGGCGCTGGGCTGCGCCCAGGCCTGTCCCTCCCGCCCTCCTCGCAGGCGCCGGCATGGTCAGTCCTGGCCAACCGGCACAAGGAGCTCCGCCTTCCTGGGCCGGAGGGCGGCCTGAGGCGCTAGCTGTCACCCGCCGGGGCCCAGCCCTGCCGCCTCCGCCGCCCTGGAAAAGCCCACTCACTCCTCTTCCGCCATCTTCTCCCCCATCCTGCGGAGCCTCCAAGACCACCGAGCTGGGAGCCGCCGGGCTAGCAGGGCCCGCCCGCTCTTGCTTCCGGCTTCCGCTGGAGGCGCGGAACGGTCGAAGAAAGGGGGGGGCGGGACCTCGGCCGCGAGGTGGCCCTTCTGTCCCTTCGACTCTATAGCCTGAGGGTGGGAGGAGGCTCATGGGATGACCTTCCCGTGCAATTTTAAGGACGCGAGTCCAGTCCAGGGTCTTATGACCATTTGGACCCACGAGGTTTCGGCTTTTCCCCACGATAGGGCGGGCGGGGGACGTTTTGAGGGAAACTCCTGTGAGGTCACTGAAATTCATTCACCCTGAGAGCAAGTGCTCTCCACCCAGGGTCCAGGGACTTCACCCTGCTAAATGTTGGGAAGGAAGTTGCAAACCTCGCTGAGCAGAGGGACCCCATGGGTACACTTCCCTAGGCTGAGCCTCAGTTTTCCTCCGCTGTAAAGAGGACTAACCACCTGGGCTTTGCAGAACTGTGCAATATTCTATGTATAAACATTTATCGAGTTCTGACTATATGCCTATGGTTAAAATAGGTGATGGTGACGTAGGGATGGGTCATTGATTAATTTGTTCATTGAGCCAATAAAGACTCATTAGATACCTAGATGTGCCTTGCAGTGGTCTGTGGGGTTGGGGATACAGGAAGGAACAAGGTGAGGTGGAAGCAGTAGGGACCCCATCAGGAGGGCTCTTTGGATTTGACACCACCTCTGCTGCTACCTCCTTCCTAAGCCAAGCCATCATGCCTCATAACAGCATAAAGCTGTCTAAATGGTCTCTGTGACCCTGCCATTTTCCTATGGTCTTCTACACAGTGGCCCCAGTGATCCTTTAAAACCCTGGTCACAACTCAGCGCAAAACCTCCATTGGCTCCCAATCTTTGGGCAGAGAAAAAAAAAAAACTTGGAGAACCTACAGGACTTGGGCCTGCCCCCTTCACCTCTCCGAGGTGGATTCCCTCCACCCTCCTGCACGCTTTCCACTATGGTCACAGTGGCTTTCTCGGTGTGCCTGAAACACATTGAGGACGCTGCCTCCTCTGTACTCGCTGATCCGTTGGCCTAGAATGCAGTCATGTGCTGCGTGATGATGTTTCAGTCAATGACAGACCTTATATATGACAGTGGTATACCATAGAGCCTAAGTGTGTGGTAGGCTATACCATTTAGGCTTGTGTAAGCGCACTCTGTGTTGTTCGAGCCACGATGAAATCGCCTAAGAATGCATTTCTTGAACTGTATTTCAGAGATGAAGCAGCACATGATTTACTCAGCTCTTAGGTTGCCCCTTGGTTCCCACCTTTCCCACTTTCAGGCTTTTCCATTACACCTTCCCTTCCTTGTTTAGAATCTATGTTCGCGCCCCTTCCCTGAGTTACTTTTTTTTGGGTAATACCTAATGTATCATACAAGTATGTTTTACTTACATAATTGTTTATTGTTTTCCTCCCCTCCAAGAGACTGTAAACTTATAGAATGTAGAGATTTTTGTCTGTTTTACTCTGTTTCATCTCCAATGCTTAGAACAGCACCTGGCACATAGTAGGTATTCACTAATAAAGGATCACTGGGTAAATAAAGACGTTAGTTAATTCTAGATGTGTTAGGAAACCAAAGGGTTTTGAAAAGAGGAGTGCTATGACCTGACTTTCATTAGGACTCTTTTAGCTGCTTGTGGAGAGTTGGGGTGGGGCGGGGATGGGTGGGGGCGAGGATGGAAGCCCTCAGACCAGCTGGGAAGCCTTTGCAATAATCAGGGCGAGAGCTGGTGGCAGTTTGGATTAAGATGTCAACCTTGGAGATGGCAGGAACGGTTGGACTCTGGGTGCATACTGAAGGCAGGGTTTGCTGTTGGACTGTGTGATATATAAAAGAGAGGCATCAAAGATGACGTCAAGCTTTTGGCTCTGGGCAGGGAAGAGATCTGTCTGGCTCAAACCTAATGTCCTCTGCCACTCCTAGACCTTTTAGGATTGTTCTCGAAGCTAACAGAGAAGGTACTTAGGCTCAGCCAAGGTTTATCGAGTCCTTCCTGTGGGCGTGGTGCTGGGCTATTGTTTCCTTAATTCCTTACATTTCTTTGAGGCAGATCACTATCTTAATTCATAAACTGAAGCCCAGAGAAGTCAGCCACTCGCCTGAAGTCAAGCAGCTGGCAAATGTTGAGGCTGGGATTCAGGCACAGAGCCTGTTTTTTTTTAACTAGTACCCCCTGTTGCTCTCCCGTGCCTTAATTTCTCTGGCTGTAAAGTAGGGCTAACAGCCTCTTCTCTTTTAGTATAGACAGAGCGTGGCGAAAATGAACTGGTCCCTAAGGACTGAGAGCTGGGCTCTCTCTGAGCCACACTTGATGCTGTCACTTTTCTTCCAGCCCTAGAAAACCCCACTTTTCTTCCAGCCCCAGAAAGCATACCCAGAGTCAGGGCCCCCATGGACTGGGGATAGGCCCCTTGCATCAGGCTGCAAGGCTATGGGCCAGTCAGGATGAAAGCAGGGCCCTGAATTCACCGACAGCTGCCCCATTTTATCTGCCATGCCACTCACTGCCCTTGCCTGTTATCAGGTCCAGATCCATGCTTTGTGGCAATAATGAACCTACTGCCAACCAGGAGGCCGCAGAACACCTGCTGTCAGGTCAATGGGCAAATCCCAAGTCCTTCTCACCTATTCCTGGGAATGAATCTAAAATCTTGGTCATTGCCCCCAGGAAGACAAATAAAGCTATTTGACTTGCAGTTCCTGGGCTCCTGGGCCCTGCCAGGCTGAGAAGGGACTGGCACAGGGCACGGCAGGCTCTGCTGCCAGGCAGTCCTGTCTCCCTACAACTCGGGACCTGTGGGCTCTGTGACTCTGAGACCCCACAGCACATTCAGAGCCTCAGGGCCCCATCATAGTTTTGACAGAAGCCTTTGGGAGGCTGTTAGAGGATTAAAGATAAAGCTCTGCCTTTGTTCTCTGTTCTCTCTGCCCTCCTCCCCCAATCTTGCCATTCAGGTCTCAGCTTAAATGTCACTTCCTCAGAGAGGCCCTCCCTGACCACTCAGTCTAAAGCAGAGGTTGGCAAACTTTTCTGTAAAGAGCCAGCCAGTAAATATTTTAGTCTGGTTGCTGTCACAACAACTCCACTCTGCTGTTACAGTGGGAAAGCCACCAGAGATGATTTAGATAGGCGTGGCTGTGTTGCAATAAAACTTTATAAATGTTGAAATTTGGATTTCTTATCATTTTCACATGTCATGAAATATTCTTTTGATTTTCCCCCCCCCAACCATTTAAAATGTGGAAACCATTTCTAGGTAGGGACCATATGAAAGCAGGTGGCAGGCTGGATTTGGCCCACCATGGGCAGCTGACCTCTAGTCTAAAGTCTTAAAATAAGTGTTTCTGAAATACTTATTATTGGATATTTTTCCCCTCTTCCTTCCTCCCTCCCTTCCTTCTTTCCTTCCTTCCTTCCTTCCTTCCTTCCTTCCTTCCTTCCTTCCTTCCTTCCTTCCTTCCTTCCTTCCATTTTATCATCCATTTTCCCCAGTAGGATATAAGCTCCCTGAAAGCAGAGAGCTTGCCTCTCTCCTGTCTTTATTCTGTCCTTTATCTCTTTTAATGTTTCTTGAACAATTACTTTTTGTTGTTTTTGTTTTTTAGTTTCAGGTGTGCAAAACAATGTAAAATAGTTAGACATTTACACCCCTAACAAAGTGATAACCCTCTCCCCCAAGCTACTACCCCTCTGACATAGTATATAGCTGTTACAGTTCCACTGACTCTATTCCTTATGCTGTACTCCACATCCTGTGTCTATACATTGGGCTGTTGGAAAAGTCGTGACGTATTTTCCTGTTTTTCGTTGCAAAAATGCATCATGACTTTTCCAACAACCATACACACACACACACACACACACACACACACACACACACACACACACACACACATATATATATATCATGTTTCCCCAAAAATAAAACCGGGTCTTATATTAATTTTTGCTCCAAAAGACACATTAATTTATTAATGTACAAAAATCTACACTTATTCCAGTACAGTCATGTCTGGCTGACGATCTTAACTGGGGCGTATTTTGGGGGTAAGGCTTATATTACAAGCACCCTGAAAATCATGCTAGGGCTTATTTTCTGGCTAGGTCTTATTTTTGGGGAAACACAGTATATATATGCATATATGTATATTAAATTATAGTTCACATTCATTATTATTCAGCTTCAGCTTCTGGTGTACACTGCAATGGTCAGGAATCTCCACCATCCATGAAGTGGTCTCCCTAATAAGACAAGCGTCCATCTGACACCCTACAAAATCTTTACAATATTTTCGATCATATTCCCCAAATAGTCTTTCATATCCCGGTGTTGAACATTTACTCTTTTCCAGGCATCATTCCAACCACATTACGCTCTGTAATTTATTTAATTTTTTATAAAACCCCGTAAGGTACTTTGAGTAGCCCAATTTTACAGATGTGGAAACTTGATGTCTTTTTCATCACTCTTTTCTCAGAGCTTAGAAAATACTGAAGCTGTCAACAAAGTAGGGACACCAACAAAAACTTTTAATGAGTTGGATATTTCATAGATGTTTTTAAAGGGAATCAAAGTGGTCACCATGTATACCAGTCAGGGTCCAATCAGAGAAGCAGAACCAGTAGGAGAAATACAGTAAAAGATTTATTGCAAGGAATTGGCCTAGAGCGATGCAGATTATTATCTTACAGTTCTATAAGTTAGAAGTGTCATGGGGCTAAAATCAATGTGTCCGCAGGGCTGCATGTGTTCCTCCTGAAAGCCCTAGGAAAGAATCTGTTTTCTTGCCTTTTTCAGCTTCTAGAGGTGCCCACATTCCATGGCATGTGGCCCCATCTTCTCTCTTCAAAGCCAACAATGGCATTACTTCGACCTCTGCTTTGGTCATCGCATCTTCTCTGTGACACACCTGCTTTCTCCTTTCCTTAATAAGTAGTCTTGTGATTACATTGAGCTTACCTGGATATTCTAGAATGATCTCCCCATCTCAAGG